TACAATAATAATTATAATAATAGAAAAACTAACTGTGGTCTGCGGAAAATGTTAACACTGATATCGTCGATAATATATRATAAAAAATAAAAAATGCATCTAACAGATTTCACGATTATCTATAATAACATAATAATGACTAAAAAAAATTGCATTTAAATTTGTTCCAGTGTATATATTACGCAAAAACACATAAATTATAATATTTATAATAAACATAAAATTATATAAAAAAATAAAAAATATCGGTCGTGAGGCCAAAAAATGTACAAACAAATCTTTAACAAAAATCAACTTGGTTCGAAAGGTCGATTACAAAAAAATAAACCATCACGATGGCCGTTACATAGAACSGAAGATCTGACACAAATCTTAATTCACTAGGTATGTATAAAAATAATATTGAACTCGTGAAAAGTCACAATGTAATATATAATAATATTTTAATATCATAAAGTAAAATCGTTATCATCCGTACTTACTATTATATAATGATGGAAAACGAGTTGACTATAATATATATAATATAATATGTAGGTACCTATATAAGACGGGAAAGTCCGGAAGTCGAAACGAACACGTTGTATGAAAACTTAATAATATTGAATAAAATAGAATATTATATAATAGCTTGTATAAAATAAAAACAAAAATTATGGTTTTTAAAAAAGTATAATATAATCTTAGATACGTATAAAAAAAAAAAAATAAACGTTCACACAAGAGTGGATAAAATACTGCGGCTGACTGGATCACGTCATAATGTAATAAATTGTAAACGATTATTTTAAAACGTTAAAATCACTACAACATAACGATCATGACTWTTATTGTTTCTGTTGCGGTCACGCAATGAACTCCGAAACCGAGGACGATCGTCTGGAATTGGGAGCCGACGACGTAGTCGCAGCTGCCTGCAGGGGAACCGTTGAATCCTGGTGTTGCCCGTGGGTGGGCAAGTCCAGCAGCGTGACGGGCGAAAATCGGACTCGAGCCGTGGACATGGACGTCGCTGAGCTGTCCCTAGCCGACATGTAACTGCTGTCGTCGCTGGTCAGGCTGTCTGGTGGCGTTGGATTGGTCGGCGACACTGCGGGGATATGCGGGTGAATCGTTATTTTGCGTAAGTGATATAATATGTTAGGTARWTATATTTCATCACCTAACCGGTGGGAGCATACACTAGTACGGAAAGAGGGAAAAATGAAGGTTTCACCATACAACACTCACTAAACCACTTCTACAATCCCTCCCCCACCTATTTTAATTTTTGARAAAATGTTTATTCCAAGCAGAAGAGATTTTATTGATAATTATACAGAGCGATTAAACACGTGTCCAATATACAGTAGCGAAAATAATATTATACCTTTAGACCGTGGAAAAAAATCTAATGTTTTGTTTTACAGTTGAAATATTATTAATAGTGAAAAAAATTAACCTTAACACCACGCAATTTATAGGTAAATGTATAAATATTTGCTCAAACCAGTATATTATATGTAAATATTTTTATTAATTATAATTGAGGAGTAAAATTAAATTTATTGAAAGCAATATTTTATTAAAACAAATATATGTTATTAAAGTAAATATTTTAAACATTATACTCCAGGGGTGGCCACAAAGGAGGCCAGCTTCATGTGGCTCTTACCACAAAGTTTAGAATTAAATTAATTAATATAACATAAAAAGTACTTCTAAAAAAATCTCATTCTTTGATGTGATCCTAAAAAGTAATGATTTATGTAGTGTAAAAAATAAATGTTCTTTAATTTTTTATAAAATGAAAAACGTGTCTTCATATCACAAATATCTTAACAGTGTGGTTCGCTTCGAATTAGCTTCTATAATTKCAGCTCCCAAAATTGAGGTTATGGGCCACCCCTATATAGTAACTATGATTAACAACCATTGATGATGTCCTAACCTAATCGATTCTGCAAATTYCYACGTGAAACCCTACCTAAGTGGAACCAGTCTTG